CAACAGAAATGTTGGGCTCAACAGTGGTTGTTCAGTCGAGGACTACTGTATTAGGTTTTTCCTTGCAACTCTGGCCAGGATGCCTATGGAATTGCAGCCGCCTATCCTGAAATGTGCTTGGAGAGGAGGAATCCCTAAGAGAAGATTTGACGAAGGAGGACGGCCGTATAAAGGCTGTAGCCATGCAGCAGATGAGCACTGATGGGTTCTGTCCATTCTTCTAAAAGACGCAGTCACTCCCTGGCGAATGGTCATCTTTTTCAACCACAGAGGCAGCCTAAAGAATTGGGTCTCTGATGAAAGAATTAACTCATAGAACCGCAGAATAAATGCAAAGAATTCAGGGTGGATCTACCAGCTGTATCTTCTAAGTGACACAGCCACAAGACGTGGGCCCACAACTTCATTCCTTAGCAGGAGAGACCCTCCCAACCAGCTGCTATTCTCCAAAAAGGAGTATGTGCCATCTCCACATCCTAATGCTCAGTTTTTCAAAGCTACTGAATATCCTTCCTTTTTTCATTTTCTTTTGCCTTCAATATTTTAAAAAAATGTTTTATACAACAGCAAGCTTGAAGATCCCTTCCTACCAATGATGGAATCTCCCTTATCTTCTCCAGCACCTTTTGTTCCAACTGCTGTGCCTTCCATTTTGAGTTCACTGTTACAGGAAACAAATCTAATGTGCTCAGCCTGGCACATGAGGGAGCATCAGCAATGAGGTCAATAAACTGGATTAGGAATAGGATAAGGCAACTAATGCACAGGAAAAAAATGCTGAATATTAAAATAGGGTTCCCATGTGTGGGAGAAGTGATAAAAGAAAGGTGCTGCATAAGAATTGCTGCAATATGGCAGCCAAAATTTTGTAGGCTATACAAAGATCAAAAGCACGCACATTAGAGTAATTAAGAATAACTGTCTTCCCCCAAATTGAATGTCTATGCATAATTTACTTTTATCTTTTTTGTGCAAATTTAAAAGCTAGGTAAGATGCAATCCTGTCGTCCCTTTTCTCTTCTGTTATAAGGCAACTGTCCAGAGGTTGATTAATATATTTATATTATATGGATTGTATCCGTAACCTAAATGCCGGTGGAAACCACATATCTTCATAAGAGATGTATGGAAGCAGAATCTAGTAATCGTTAGAGCCATGCTACGCTTGGTGTTTCATTTCAAAAGGTGTTTTGGAAAACACAAAACAGCCAGCATTGGATCTGTGTACAACTCTTTAAAGCGGCTATATCTTTTCTCATAGCTTGATGATACATTCATGCCTCCGAGGATTCTGAAACAACTTTTGGAACGGAATAAAAAAACTGCACACCCCTGGAATCTATGTGCCAGTATACAGAAAATCATGTATCTTTCTGTCAGAACCAAGGAACACAGCAAATATAGAAATCACTGGTACACTGGTAGATATCCTTTTAGCTTTGTAAAACTGCACCTTTAAATATTCACAGATGCATATACCCGTATTTGCTCATTAGAAATAAATTGTCAGTGTATATAACTATGTAAAAGGAAATTGTATAATGAGAAATTACTTTCATGGCATTAATAATAAGCCAAGCTCTTTTTAAAAATCAGGGCTTAAATCTCACAATTTTATAGTTACGCAACGAATTGTCCACAAGCCAAGAGAAGAATATTTAAACCAATATTAAACCAATAAAACCAATAAAAGTTAAGGTAGAGATAGGCAAAAAAGTTGTAATCCAATAAATCAGCAATTTTCAGGAAATCTTTACACCAATGTTTGGGTGTCTGCCATTCCTTACCAGACTTTTTTTTTTTAATGGCCAATTTATAGTGTCCCCCAAGGGAATTCAGTTACAAATTTTGAGCATTTTAGATGGTCTTGACTGGCTCAGAGACAGGTTTTGTAACCAGAAAGAACTGTCCAATCACTTTGCTTTACCACACAGCTTCTTTACAAGACAGCATCTGCAAGCAAAATAATATAAAAAAGACTTCTGACTGACAAAAGATATCAAGAAATTGAGGAAGAATGAGAGGAAGCATTCTCCCATTTTTAAATTAGAGCATCTATTCTGATAATTTAGTTTTCAAGAAGTGGTTGTTTGTCACATGCCATATTCATATGGGTGGATCTACTCTAGTCTAGAGAAGGCATACCACCTTTTCTAGCTGTGAAACTGCATTTTCTTGAAATGCTTAGTCTTGATGTCAAGATCTTTCACTCACGACCAAAGTAGCCTCTGTGACATAGAACACCTAGATATAAAGTTAGATGTTAAATCATCTCTTAATATGGACTGGCTATTAGGATTCACCCATGTCTTTGACTAATTCTTGTTCCTCCTCTAAGTGTTCATTTACGTTTAGGGGATGCGTAGCTGAGTGGCCGAAGGAAGAACTGTGTTCACCGCTGCAATGCATGAAGATCACTCTTTAGGTTAGGAATATATGGGAATGTGAGATATCACTTTCCCACTGGCAATACCTCCATTTCTAGGAGACTAAGTTGAACCCACATTTCCAGGGGCCAAAAAGACAACACAACACCATGTCTATGTTGTAGTCAAGAAAAGTCCAGAGATAGGAACACAAGGCTACCAGAAGTCAAACTTCACTTGAAGGCAGTTATGTTTTATCCCCATCTCCTATCAGCTTTTGAAATTTAACTTCTGGCCTTTTCCCTTGGGTCTCTAACTTTTAGTTGTGAGCAGATACAGGAAACACCACTTTTCTGTGGTAAGATTTAAGAAATAAATGTTGTTAGGGTTGGCTTGTTCTTGCATTATGCTATTGTATAAACTGCCCTGGAAATGGCAGAGAGTGGACAACATAGAATTTAAAATACAGATTCATGCAGCTACTATAAACAGGAGTAACACCCTTGCAAATAGTAAGGCACTAATGAATCACAGGACAGATAGTCCTCAACTTTACAACCACAATTTTGGTCCATCCTAAATTGGTCTGGTCATAAAGTGAGTCATTACATGGCTGGACTTGATTTTGTGCCAATTTTTACTGCGGCTGTTAAGAAAATCAGTTATTAAGTGAATCCAGCATCCCCAATTAACATTGCTTGTTGGAAACTGGCTGGGAAGGTTGCAAATTGCAACCACATGATCACAGAACATTGCAACTGGTGGCTCAGTTGCCAAATGCCCAAATTATGATCACATGGTCACAGGTCATAAATGCGAGGACAGGTCGTAAAGCACTTTTTCCCAAGGCCATTATAAATTTGAACTATTGTTAAATGGATGGTTAAGTCAAGGACTACTTATATTCTGGAAATCCTAATACAGGGAGTTCTCAATTTATGACTACAACCGAGCCCAAAATTTATATTGCTAAGTGAGACATTTATTAAGTGAGTTTTGCCCCATTTTACAACCTTTCTCGACATTGTTAACTGAATCACAGCAGCTCTTAAATTAGTAACATGGTTGTTAAGTGAATCTGGCTTTCCCATTGATGTTGCTTCTCAGAAAGTCACAAAAGGATATCACATGACCCCGGGATACTACAAATGTCATAAATATGAACCAGTTGCCAAGCATCTGCATTTTGATCATGTGATCGCGGGGATGCTGCAGCGGTCGTAAGTGGAAAAACAGTCATAAATCACTTTTTTCAGTGCCATTGTAACTTTGAACAATCACTAAATGAAGAGTTGTAAGTTGAGGACTACTGTACTAATAAATATTTGCCAAGACAGCAGAGATGTCACAGTGAGGTTTGGGGGGAGGGGGCAGGGGGAGATTAGTAAGTAGGAAAAGGGACACTTTCTTTTTTTCATATCCTTTTTAACTTTGCCACCACAACTACTTTGACACACACATACACACACAGAAGTTATACTGGTTTTAGGTCTCAATTCCTAACCCTGAGATCATGCAGTAAAAAACAAGTTTTGAAACAATCCAGGCAGGGCAAACATTCTCTGAGAAACCCTGCCAGATGGACAACTAGAACCAAGCAACTAATCACATTCCCTAAATTTGGAGAAACCAGCAGGAACATATATAAATACCATATTCTCCAACCTCGTCATTCCTGCTGATCAAGCATGGAAGAGACCCCGGAGAGATCTGACAACTTCGAAGCAAAAGTTACACACAAGGGCTGCCACGAGGCTGTGCAAAAGGGCCAGAGGAAATCTTAAAATGTATGAATGACAGCTAAATGGACCCCCATTCATTCAATGCCAATCTACACAGCCAGCCAGCCAAAGGTGGAGAAAAACGGATGCTAACCATCAAAGTGGGGAAAGGGTTTGGATCTCCTACCAGATATTGCTTGCTATAAAGGCAATAATGGGAAATTACCCTGAAAACCTGGCCTCAACTTCAAAAGCTAAGCAGGGCTGTAGACAGGAGACCACTAAGAAATCCCTAGACTGAGTTTTTTTTTCTTTTCTTTTCTTTAAATCCTATCCCGGAAAATGACCACAGCACAACAAGTAAGGCAGCCATAGGGATCCTCTCAAGTCAAACTCAATGGGCTATTTCCTGGGGGACACCCCTGGCGCAGAAGGGCCACAGGGACTTGTGGGAGCCAGGTTAGAAGTTGCTGGGCTACCAGGAGACTCCCCCAAACAGGACTTGCTGCAGGGAAAGCCAGCTTGCCCCATCAAATGCCTGAGCTGGGAGGGGCCTGCCCCAAAAGAGCAACAGGGAGGGGCAAAGAAACCCAGCCTGGCACGGAGCCAAGAAGGGGGTTTCTGCAGGGGGGGGAAAGGGGGACACCCGGGGGCCACGTGGAAGCCCCCCCGCCCCCACCCAGGAGGGACTGGATCAAGGAGGGTGCCAGCCTCGCTTCTGGGGCAGAAAGGCTGGCGCGGGGGGGGGGCTTCTCCCTCTTTCCCCCCCCCCGGGGGGGCGGGGGGGGGCCCCCCCCGGCCAGCAGGATCGCGGGGGGGGACCCGTCGGCGCGCTTCCCCAACGGGGCGCCCTCGGCCCGGCGGAGTCTGGGGGCGCCGCTGGACGGGCGGAAGGGCGGGGGGGGCTACTTACTAGGGGTCGTTGGTGAAGCGGGGGCTCCGCGGGGGCTGGTAGCCGTAGAGGTGACAGTAGAGCACGTCGAAGCAGAAGCAGCACATCTCGGCCGACACTACCATCTTCCTGCAGCCGCCGGGCCCGGCGCCGGGGGAGCCCAGGAGCGCGGCGGGGCCCGAGAGGCCGGCGCCGGGGGCCCCTCCGCAGCCGGGCGGGCGCGGCGGCGGCGAGAGGGCGCAGCCGGGGGAACCCCCCGCCAGCCCCCCGAGGCCGTTGAGGCGCGGGCCGCCCCCGGCCGCCCCCGCCGGCAGCGCCCCCGGCTCGCCGCAGCGGGAGCCCCCCCCTCCGCCGCCCGGGCCGGCCGAGCCCGACGGAGGGGAGCTGGAGAGCTTCTGCTTCTTCACCCCGCAGCAGCCCGCCGCCATCTTGGAGCCGTCTCCCCCCACGCAGCGCTTCCGACCCATGGCGGGGGGGCCGCGCGGCTGCGCGAGGGCGGGGCGTGCGCCGGCCCCGCCTCCTGCCGGGGAAGCTCCGCCTGCGGGGAGGGAGGGAGGGAGGGACGGCGGGGCCGGCCAGGGAGGCGGGAAGGGAGTTTGGGGGCGGAGGGGAGTAGAAGGGGCGAGGAGGAAGAGGAGGGAGGAGGGGCAATTTGGGGAAGGGGGGGCCCCGGAGGAAAGGGGGCCAGGGAGGAGCCAGGGAAGGAAAGGAGGGAGGGGGATTTGGGGGAGGGGCGCGGGGAAAAGAGGGGATCCCAGCAAAGCGGAGGGGGAGGGGCAGAGAAAGGGGAGGGCGGGAAAGGCGGAAAGGGGAGGAGCGAAGAGGGGGGAGGGGAACAGGGCAAGAGAGAAAGTGAGGGAGAAAGAAAAAAGCCGTTAGTAACTCGCAAGTCAACTCTTCCCCCTCACACACACGTTTCTTTCTCCCCCCTCCCTCCCTCTCTCCCTCGGAGGGCCCGTTCCTGCTCTGGATTGGGGGTCCCTGCTGGAGGCGGGCCTTTTGGGGGGGGGGGGGGGGGGCTCTTACTCGGGATCCCGATGTTATTGAGGCGCTCTGGGGGAGGGGGGCCGCTCGGCCCTTTGCAGGGCGCTGGGAGAAGCCGGCTCAGGCCCTTCCTAGGACCCCGTTGGCTTGCGGGCGGGGAGGGGGCAGGGCCGGATTTTCCTATAGGCTAACTAGGCTTCAGCCTAGGGCAGCCATGGCTAACCTTTTTGCTATCGCGTGCCAAGAAGGGGGGGGCGGGGGAGGTTCGCGTACACCTGTGCCCGCACCCATAATTCTATGCACCCTGCCCCGCGCATGCAACCCCCCTTCCCTCCGCTCCTAGCACACGATGGCCCGGTAGGCCCATTTTTCTTTCTCACCTGGCTCCAGATCCTCTCTATGCATCTGGGGAGGGTGAAAACAGCCTTCCCCAACCCCTCGGAGGCCCGAAACGGCCCGTTTCCCAACTTCCAGTTGGACAGGAAGTGACTTTTTTGCTGTCTCCAGCCTCCAGAGACTCCGACGCATGTGCACCGGAGCTGAGCTGGCGTGCCAGGCAACATGGCTCCACGTGCCGCCTGTGGCAGGCGTGCCATAGGTTCGCCATCACGGGCCTAGGGCCTCAAGATCAAGAGGGGCCTACATTCAAATTGTTAGCAAAATTAAAATTACACTTTCACTATAGGTGAAAGGGCCTCATACGTGGAATAGCCTAGGGCCGTGATGGCGAACCTATGGCACGGGTGCCACAGGTGGCACGCAGAGCCATATCTGTGGGCACACGAGCGTTTCCCTAGCTCAGCTCCAGCACGCATGCATGTGCCAGCCAGCTGGTTTTCAGGCCTTCTGGGCCCACTGGAAGTCAGGAAACCTCTGGAGCCTGGGGAGGGTAAAAACAGGCCTACCAGTCCCACCAGTAACCATTTTGCCATCGTGTGCCAAAAGTGGGGGGGAGACCGTGGGGGGAGGCTCACACGCGCATGCGCAGGGGGGGCGGGGCACGGGGAGGAATTGAATTATGGGTGTGGGCACGTGCATGTGTGACCCCCCACACTCCCTCTGCTTTTGGCACACGACAGCAAAAAGGTTAGCCATCGCTGGCCTAGGGCCTCTTTTCATCTAAATCCGGCCCTGGGAGGGGGAGGAGGTCAGCGAAGGGGGGGCTGCCCCCGTTTGAGTCCACTGGAACCCCCACCGGCTTTGCAGCCCTTCACCACCCCCCCAAAACCCGGGACGGATAGGACTAAGCGCTTCCAGCCGAGGGAACGAAACTGGCCCGACCTGTCCTTGCAATGCTCGCAAAGGGGATTTGGGGCCCTGGGGGACTTCGGCTGCCTTCCCTGGGTTTGCTTCTAGCCAGAGCTAAACAGCCTTCGCCGCCCGAACCTTCAGTTGCCCAACTGGTGCCGCCGAAAACGTCGGGCTGGCTATTTCAAAACCGGTCGGGTGAGGCGGGCAGGAGCTCCAAAATATGATTATACGGCGTGGCTTCCTCGCAACCCGACCTGGCAAGATGTCCCCGTTCTTTTTGGGAATGCCCTGCCTGGCACCAGCCCTAATCAGCTGCCGCTTCACCTAACCAGATTGCGCCTATGCATTGGGTGGGTGGGGGGGGGGGAATAGATATATAGTACAGGTAGTCCTTTACTTAAAAACCACAATTGAGCCCAAAATTTATGTTGCTAAGTGAGAAATTTGTTAAGTGAGTTTTGCCCCCATTTTAAGACTTTTCTTGGCCAATTTGTTAACTGAATCAATGCAGTTGTTAAATTAGTAACTTGGAACAGTTATTAAATGAACTATTGTAAATCAAGGACTACCTGTAATCCTGAATTTACAACAGTTCATTTAGTAACAGTTCAAAGTTACGACGACACTGAAAAAAGGTAACATGACCATTTTTCACATTTATGACTGTTGCAACATCCCCATGGTCACATGATCAAAATTCAGATGCTTGGCAACTGACTCATATTTATGACGGTTGCAGTGTCCCAGGGTCATGTGATCACCTTTTATAACCTGATAAGCAAAGTCAATAAGAAGCCAAATTCACTTAACAACCATGTTACTAACTTAATAACTGCAATGATTCACTTAAAAACTGTGACAAGAAAGGTTGCAAAATGGGGCAAAACTCACTTAACAAATATTTCACTTAGCAACAGGAATTTTTGGCTCAATTATAGTCGTACATCAAGGACTACTTGTATAGATTGCAACAATAACCCATGGAAGTAGCAGCTTCTAGCAGGCCTGGCTGGTCTCTGAAGAGGGTTTACCCTGGTCATTGCTGGGAGCGGAGGCCTCTTACAAGCCAGAGTGGAAACTTCAGAAGGAAGCAAAGATAAACCCCTTCCAGAGGCTGCCCTGGGAACTGAATATGCTGTCAACTGACTCCACTTGAGGGAATCTGCCCTTCCTTACGCCAACATGTGCTTGAGGAGAATCTCTGGAAGCTCCTGGGTAAGCCAGTTTAGTTGCTAAGGCACCAGGTTAGAAACCTGGAGACCATGAGTTCTAGTTCCGCCTGACTCATGAAAGCTGGCCGGGTGACTTTGGGCCAATCACCAGGAGTCAATGAGTTCTAGATTTACCTTAGGATGGAAGTCAGGTGAGTTTGGGCCAATCACCACGAGACTCTTGAGTTCTAATTCTGCCTTAGGCATGAAAGCCAGTTAGGCGACTCTTGGCTCTAATGCAGTCTTAGGCATGAAAGGTGGCTGGGTGACTTTGGGCCAATCACCTGGAGACCATGAGTTCTAGTTCCACCTAAGCGATAAAAGTCAGCTGGATGACTTTGGGCCAGTCCCTCTCTCTCTTAGCCCAGTCCACTTCACCTTGGTTGTTGCCAAGCGCTCGAATTTTGATGATGTGACCATGGAGATGCTGCAATGGTCGGAAGTGTGAAAATCAGTCAAGTCACTTTTTTCAGTGCTGTTTTAAATTTGAGCAGTCACTAAACAAATGGTTTTAAGTTGAGGATTACCTGTATAATACAGCATTATTTGGTTTATCTTTCCAATGCAATATATCAGTGCTGGCAATTTTTTAAAATGCTGGAGTTGCCTATTTAATTTACCTTTGATCTATGGATCTGAATATTTTATTTCAATATTATGTATCTTAGTCTACCTTAATTTATTCTTTTATGCTTTCCTTTATCTTTTTTTTTTTTGGTCTGTTTTGACTTTGGGACTTGCATTGCTGTTGTTATTTAGTCTCAGACTGTAAATAAGACTCGATCCATCAGTGCAAAAAAGATGTCAAAGGCTTTGAAAGTCATAAAGTGACTTTTCCCCTCCAAAGGAGATTGCTCAGAATAATAAAACTCATCACTCAGAGGAATGTAAAGGTCAACTACAAATCTATCATTCTGATTCAAGCTGGAAAAATTCATGCTTTTGCAGCGAAATAAAAGAATCTGGTCATTCTTAAGATCTGTAAACTAGAACAGTTTCAACAGAGGGATATGGAAAAGTTAGATACTATCACACAAATGTGTGACTTTTTGGTTTACTGAGTCTTCTAAAAACATGCAGGCAACTTCAGGACATTAATGTTGAAATACAGATAAAATTCCAAGATTTTTTTAAAAAATCTCTGTTTATGATAAGTGGAACAATCAGATCCAACATGAAGAGCTCATTAACTATTTTATTGCTCAAGCCTATAACACAGGAATCTTCTCAAACTGACAATTTGCAGACTTTGTTTTCTTATGCTCAGATAAGGATTCCAGACTAATTCCATGTTTGATTCATACCCCTGGCTCAGCCAGTCTCGCTCTGACCGTTTATTCATTAAGCAGCTCTCATGCTACCTTGCAAGTCACAGAAGATGCAAAATGATGAAATGAGTTTATAATTGGGAAATAAAAATATATCATCAATCCAAATTTAAAATCTGGAGGAGTAGCGTCTGCCCCATAAAGCAATGTATACAAAAACTGATTCAATGAGAATCAATTATTGATGTAAGAAAATTTATATGGCTGCCCAATTCACTCTCTGCATGTCTTGGGACCAGGTTATTTGAAGGACTGTCTTTTCACAGTCCCATCTACTTGACCCACCAGAGCAGGGAGGCAGTGAATGCTATGAGTCCTTTCTCTTATGAAGGTCCATCTAGTGGGACCAAGAAGAAGGGCCTTCTCATTGATCGTGGAGCCAGCGGTTAGGAACGGGTTAACTCCTGTCTAATCTTGATGGATCGAGTCTGCGAGCTGAGAAGCTCCTCCTCTTCCTTTGGCTTCCCAGCTTTCAGACTCGGTCTGCTTGGATCAGACACACCTTCTGAGTTCTCCTTGTTTTTGACCATTGGTACCTAATTTTGCCTGTTCTCTTGGCTCCCTGAATTTAGGTCGAGCATTTCCAGCGAGAAGGGCTTCACACCCGAGCCCGCTGAGGACTGCTTTGCAGTACAGGGGGTTGAAAGCTCCCGGCTGGTTGAGCCTTCC